TTTAAAATATTATTTTTATAATTTATAATGACAATATAATTTATAAAATTATAAATATTTACTGATTACATACTTATAAATTAAATTTTAACATTTTAAATAAATTATTAATTAATTTAATATATTTATTTATCTTAAATCTAAGATATAAAATTCAAAAAATATATTTATCCTTATTTTATTTTCTAATTATCAATCATTAATAAAATATTAATTTAAAATATTATCTAATTATATCATAATATTTTCATATCAATTTAAAACCAGATATTAGAACTCAAGGATCCAGAGGTAGTTGTGCATAATAGCACTAAACCACTAGTAAGAGTCATGGACGGAGAGAGTCTTCATGAGAGCCCTGCGCCCCGCCCTCCTGAGCCGCTAGATGTAGGGGTGCATCGACATTCTAGTGTTTCCTTTAGGGATAAGCTCATTGGAAATAAGGAGGCAGCTCCTCGACCTCTGGCAGTTGATCTTATACGGCACAACCTGTTCAGAATCGAATTCGAGGATGGAAATCGGTTAAAGCCGAAGTGTTTTATCAGTGATGAGGTATTGCAACCCCTCAGGGAACCTTGGCAGGAGGCGGTGGTCATAAAGTTGTTGGGGAAGTCAGTAGGTTTCTTTACTATGAAGGAGAAATTACGTGGCATTTGGAAATTGGCTGGAGGCTACGATGTATTGGATATTGGCCATGGCTTCTTCTTGGTCAAATTTGATATGCAGGAGGATAGAGATAAAGTCATTACCGGAGGGCCATGGATGATGTTTGATCATTATCTAGCAGTTCGGGAATGGGTTCCAGATTTCGTAGCAGCTGAAGTGCGTATTGATAAGGCGCTGGTATGGATTCGGTTCCCTAGTCTGGGCATGGAATACTATGACGAGAGTGTCTTGCTTGCGTTGGCGACTGCTGTTGGAAGGCCAGTGAAGGTTGATTTCATGACTATGAATGCGACACGGGGCAAGTTCGCGAGGGTCTGCGTGGAGATTGATTTAAATGAGCCAGTGGTGGGGAAGGTTTGGTTTAGAAATGTCTGGTTCAAAATTGAGTATGAGGGTCTCCATCTACTGTGTGCGAAGTGTGGTCGTTACGGGCATGTGGCTCGCCAATGTGCTGTTCAAGGTTTGGATGGTGTAGAGACAGAGGGAGAGGTTCCTCGGGAGGCTCCGCTGGCAACTGCCGTACATTCACATACTCAAACGGTGGATTCCGCCGCTGATGGGGTCCACGAGGATTGGATGGTGGTTATGAAATTCAAACGGGGAGGCAAATCTAAAGGCGTTACAGGTGGCGAGAATAAATGGGGATATAAAGGAGGGGATTCTCAATTTAAGTTTAAAAATAATCCGTTCCAAGCATTACGGAGAGAAATGGATATGAGTCAGGGCCCAATGAATGCTGATTATTTGAATACAACAATATTTTCGGGTACCGCGAATCAAGGCTCCACTCCTGAGCGGCACTTTGTGGATCTAACCTCGAAAGTGTGGACAAAGAGTAAGGGTAAACGTTCGAGACATGAGCCAGCGGAGTCAACGGAGGAGGGGTCATCGTCGCAAACACTGGCTATGAAGAAAACTGTGAATTGTATGAAGAGTCAAACGGTGGCTACTCCCTTGACTAGTATTCATGCACACGTAAAAACTGGTATGAAACCACTACATACACACATGCAACCACCATGCAGCTCGTATGTACAAAGTTTTGGAGATCCACCGCAATCTCATATTATTCCGCAACATGCACCGAGACCCCCTGATGACGCTTTGCCAGCTGATGGGGTTACAGTAGGTGATGATGGAGTTGCTTTGGAGGAAGATATGGACGTTGGAGAAGATGTCACGCCTCACTCTCAGAAGTAGCATTGGGGTGCTTGACCTATGCAGATTCGGGTGTCCAATGAATACAAACCACTGTGCCATTTTAGCTTGGAATGTGCGAGGGGCTGCGGGTAGGATGAATAAGTTGCACATTAGTCAGACTATTCGTTCACGGGGCAAGTTCGCGAGGGTCTGCGTGGAGATTGATTTAAATGAGCCAGTGGTGGGGAAGGTTTGGTTTAGAAATGTCTGGTTCAAAATTGAGTATGAGGGTCTCCATCTACTGTGTGCGAAGTGTGGTCGTTACAGGCATGTGGCTCGCCAATGTGCTGTTCAAGGTTTGGATGGTGTAGAGACAGAGGGAGAGGTTCCTCGGGAGGCTCCGCTGGCAACTGCCGTACATTCACATACTCAAACGGTGGATTCCGCCGCTGATGGGGTCCACGAGGATTGGATGGTGGTTATGAAATTCAAACGGGGAGGCAAATCTAAAGGCGTTACAGGTGGCGAGAATAAATGGGGATATAAAGGAGGGGATTCTCAATTTAAGTTTAAAAATAATCCGTTCCAAGCATTACGGAGAGAAATGGATATGAGTCAGGGCCCAATGAATGCTGATTATTTGAATACAACAATATTTTCGGGTACCGCGAATCAAGGCTCCACTCCTGAGCGGCACTTTGTGGATCTAACCTCGAAAGTGTGGACAAAGAGTAAGGGTAAACGTTCGAGACATGAGCCAGCGGAGTCAACGGAGGAGGGGTCGTCGTCGCAAACACTGGCTATGAAGAAAACTGTGAATTGTATGAAGAGTCAAACGGTGGCTACTCCCTTGACTAGTATTCATGCACACGTAAAAACTGGTATGAAACCACTACATACACACATGCAACCACCATGCAGCTCGTATGTACAAAGTTTTGGAGATCCACCGCAATCTCATATTATTCCGCAACATGCACCGAGACCCCCTGATGACGCTTTGCCAGCTGATGGGGTTACAGTAGGTGATGATGGAGTTGCTTTGGAGGAAGATATGGACGTTGGAGAAGATGTCACGCCTCACTCTCAGAAGTAGCATTGGGGTGCTTGACCTATGCAGATTCGGGTGTCCAATGAATACAAACCACTGTGCCATTTTAGCTTGGAATGTGCGAGGGGCTGCGGGTAGGATGAATAAGTTGCACATTAGTCAGACTATTCGTTAATATAAACCTGATATGGTGTTCCTATTTGAAGTTCATGTACTTTTTGAAAAGGTGGAGATATTTTGGAAGAGGATGTGCTACTCTCCTTTTTCGATTCAAGAAGCCCGTGGCCATTTCGGAGGTATTTGGGCTCTAGGGAAGGATAATTCAGATATTCATGGGCGTGTGGTAGAATCACATCCGCAGGCTATCACTATCCAATTTTCGTCAAATGGGTTGACATGGTGTTGCACGGGGGTGTATGGTCACCCTGTTCCGAGGGTGCGTGATAATCTCTAAGAGCTCCTTCGAGTCTATATAAGGGGATACTCTCTCAGTTTGTATCAAGCGAGTTTGGAAATAAAAACTCTTGTGTTTCTTTACTCATGGATTTCTAAATTACTTCTCTTCCTCTAGGTACCTTTTTTTCATTTACATGATTTAACTTTACGTGTGCGAGATGTGTGGTAGGATGGGAGGTGGCATTTAGAACAACTCCACTCCTGGCTGTCAACAGAACTCCAGGCAAGAATCCTTAGCATGCAAATTTGGTTGCATCCCTCCACATCGGATGGCATTGTTTGGGAGGCCTCTACAAACGGTGAATACCTAGCTCGGACAGGGTATCAGTGGCTGTGTGATAGGGATGTGGTCCTTTCCGATGGGTGGCAATGGATTTGGAGGCTTCCATTGTCGGAGTCGATTCGATTTTTCTTATGGCAGGTTTGCCATGATGCTCTTCCCACTGGTGCCTTGTTGGTGCAACGACATGTAACTCCTGATGGGCTTTGTTTGAGGTGTAGAAACGAGGTGGAAAGTATTGCCCATGTGTTGTTTCGCTGTGAACATGCAGTCAGATTGTGGCGTCTATTACATTTGGAGGAGGCGATTTGTTGGTGGTCGGGATCTTGGCCAAAGTGGCTTAAGTTGTGCTTTCAGAGGTGCCATATCCTTCCACTCAACCTTCTGGGACGTGTGACCAGTTGGATGCACTCAGCAGGAGGTTTATTTGGAGTGGGGAAGGTGCACGGAAACTTCATTTAGTGAAGTGGGAGACCCTGACTCGACCAAGGAAGGAAGGAGGTTTGGGTGTGTGTATAGCGCGGAATAAAAATATTTCGTTGTTGGGTAAGTTGATTTGGGATTTGTTTCATCATACGGACAAATTATGGGTTAGAGTGGTCATGGAAAAATATAGAGACAGAAATGTTGCTAGTTTATTGCAAAGGCCAGGTTCTTATGTTCTGACTTCCTTGCGGAGAGCTTTTGAGGAGCTGCGCCCGGGGTTTCGATTCCAGTTGGGTGATGGTGAGGCCAGCTTCTGGTTTGAGAATTGGTTTCATGAAGGGCCACTTGCCAACGAGGTACCTTTTTTTCATTTACATGATTTAACTTTACGTGTGCGAGATGTGTGGTAGGATGGGAGGTGGCATTTAGAACAACTCCACTCCTGGCTGTCAACAGAACTCCAGGCAAGAATCCTTAGCATGCAAATTTGGTTGCATCCCTCTGCATCGGATGGAATTGTTTGGGAGGCCTCTACAAACGGTGAATATCTAGCTCGGACAGGGTATCGATGGCTGTGTGATAGGGATGTGGTCCTTTCCGGTGGGTGGCAATGGATTTGGAGGCTTCCATTGTCAGAGTCGGACAGGGTATCGATGGCTGTGTGATAGGGATGTGGTCCTTTCCGGTGGGTGGCAATGGATTTGGAGGCTTCCATTGTCAGAGTCGATTCAATTTTTCTTATGGCAGGGGGGGCCTGATGCGTCTTCCCCCCGCGCGCATTGGTTTCATGAAGGGCCACTTGCCAACGAGGTACCTTTTTTTCATTTACATGATTTAACTTTACGTGTGCGAGATGTGTGGTAGGATGGGAGGTGGCATTTAGAACAACTCCACTCCTGGCTGTCAACAGAACTCCAGGCAAGAATCCTTAGCATGCAAATTTGGTTGCATCCCTCTGCATCGGATGGAATTGTTTGGGAGGCCTCTACAAACGGTGAATATCTAGCTCGGACAGGGTATCGATGGCTGTGTGATAGGGATGTGGTCCTTTCCGGTGGGTGGCAATGGATTTGGAGGCTTCCATTGTCAGAGTCGATTCAATTTTTCTTATGGCAGGTTTGCCATGATGCTCTTCCCACTGGTGCCTTGTTGGTGCAACGACATGTAACTCCTGATGGGCTTTGTTTGAGGTGTAGAAACGAGGTGGAAAGTATTGCCCATGTGTTGTTTCGCTGTGAACATGCGGTCAGATTGTGGCGTCTATTACATTTGGAGGAGGCGATTTGTTGGTGGTCGGGATCTTGGCCAAAGTGGCTTAAGTTGTGCTTTCAGAGGTGCCATATCCTTCCACTCATTGCTTGTTGGGTTCTCTGGAAGATGCGTAATGAACGGGTTTTTAATGGGTGTGACTCTTCTGTGTGGGAGGCCTTACGTCGGGTCCATGCTTTGCATACTACCATGGTACGTGCTTTTGCGGTAGTTGATGACACACACCACATGATGCAGGGCTTAAGTGGGTCTCTTGTATCTTTGCTGAGGGGCTACAAACTAGTCTACATGTTGACGCCAGCTTCAATCCAGCATCAGGTCAAGCAGGCATTGGTGGTCTTGCAAGAGACTCCAATGGTAGGTGGCTATGGGGGTTCTTTGGGGCAGTTGAGGCTGTCGATGCCCTTCAGGTGGAATTACTTGCCATTCTTCACGGGCTAAGGATTGCTTGGAGCCGACGCACGCAGTCTGTGTTATGTGTTTCGGACTCAGCTGTAGCGGTTGTGCTTGTTACGCATGATATCCAAAGTACTCACAGATTGGC